CTTTAAAGGAAGAAATTCAAACACTAAATGAAAAGTAAATCAAATGATAATGTTCATCAATTAAATAACAGTATTTTTTTCTCTTTTTAGCATTTCCACTTTCTCTACAATCGACAGCGTTTACGTTTTACACAACCTATTTTCTTTGCTGATTCCATCATGGGGCTATACAGCAGCAAAGTCAAGATAAAATGAGCAGAATTGAGTGTTAGATCGTGCAAGTAAGACCCAACAGCTGATTCTGAAGTACATCGTCATCAAAACATACGTCGCGACTCCAGAAAACAGCTGTGAGCCAATGCGGTAAATTTGAAAATGCACTCCAAAACCAGTACCGGAAATCTGAATGAACCGGTTTATCGATAGCCGGATTCTTGAATGTCAACCTGTATATATAAGCATGCATTTGTGTTTGTGTATACATATAATATAAATGTGTATGTATATATGTTTATATATAGAGATATATATATACTATAACCATAGAATTTTCTGGCATGGTTAGCGAGCCAAAAAAGCACAAAGGCAAAAAACACCGTTTATTTTCCTGTAGTGATCCCCTATCCTCTCCTAAGAACTTCTCGTTGTTAGAAAACATGTGAATATTCTTTACTGCACATTCATATTGAACATTCTGGATTGCCGTTTTTTATGATCTAAGCTGAATGTATATCGCAAGGCTTATTATCAAGAACAGATTTTTATTATTTTTTTTACCAGTGGTGATCCGGGATCCATTAGCACTGCGAGATAAGGACACCGATGTCACCAGTGTACTTGAGAAAGAGGTTATTTTAATCTCATTTTTCAGTTGTGAATATTTCCATTGCATCAGTGACCCTATTCCTTTGACGGTCTCAAGTGCTCTGTGAATGCTTCTAGTTATTAATGTTATTAGTACTATTATTCATATCATTATGATCATCATCATTATTATCACTGCTATCATTATTAACATTATCATTATCATTATTATTATCATTAATATTATTATCATTATCATTATTATTAATATTATTATCATTATCATTATTATTAATATTATTGTCATTATGATTATTATTAATATTATTGTCATTATGATTATTATTAATATTATTTTGTTGTTATTATTGATATATTTATCATAATTATCATTATTATGATTTTCAGCAAAACGAGAATCACAACATATAGTTTTTTTTTTAATGTGTAACCCCTTTTATTAGAAGCGAACGTACACATAAGTTCACAACCACGTAAGTTGACAACGCCGTCCACAGGAATGTTTGTGCCCCGGCTCTAACATGACAGTGAAGTGCGGCGAGACCCACGTCGGCTCGAGGGTCGTGGCCTGCGTCGAGGGCGAGGTCGTGGTTGTCAAGGACGATTGTCTCTACCAGTGGATCGAGGATGCAATGCACATGGTAGGACTTATCTTGTGGTTGTTGTTAGTTTTGATATTGTTGTTGTTGTCATCATTATTATTATTATTATTATCAGTTATTATCATTATCATTATTACTATTATTATTATTATTATTATTACTATTACTATAATTATTGTTGTTATCATTATTAGTATGGTTATCATTATCATGATTATTGATATTATTATTATCATTATTATTATCATTATTATTATTATTATCATTATTATTATCATTATTATTATTATTATCATTATTATTATCATTATTATTATTATTATCATTATTTTTTATTATTATTATTATTTTGTTATTATTATTATGACTATTATTATCATTACCATCATCATCATTATTGATTTCATTATGATTTTTGTTATTTTTATTATTCACCGTCACCATAGTAAATAAGTAAGTAGTACCTGTAAAAGTTACCTTTATACAGATTTTCCATTAAACCAGTGATCTTCAGAACAAGTAATACTTTATGAACGTAACTTTTACATGATTTCCCTTTGATTAAGTTTTCTTCTTCTTTTTTCTTTTTCTTTTTTACTTTGTATACTTGTTTTTTATCAACAATGAAAGGCAACAACAACAGAGTCGCTGAAATGTAATATTGTAAACTATATATAATTGAGGATAATGTAGATCAAGGTTTTTTTCTGCCCAGGACACAGCTGTAAGGGCGAGAGGCGTTCGCGGGAGCTGAAAGGAAATATTAAGAACTAATTATATGTTTATTCTCACGATCTCTCTCCTACAGCTTACATACGGGAATGTTTCGGCGGCGGACATTGCGCTTGACTTGAAGAACAACACGCAGGAACAGAAGCTTTCCCCTCACGATCTCGATACTCTGGTGGCGATCATTAGTAACCTCACAGTCCTCGTTGACGATCAGGTAATTTTAAGGTTATGCTTGGAATGATATCTGTTAATCTTTCATGTCTGATTCGTATTCTTTCTTCTTTCTCATTCGTATACTTTTGTTGTTTTTGGACATTATCTATGTATCTATTATATGTGTGACGTGTATGCTTTCTTCATATAACATTTAGTGTCTTTTTCGTTGCTCATTAACCTACAAGCACGCACTTTGTTGTTCTTTATTAGCATTCACTTCACACAATGGTTTACCTGTATACAGATATCTCCAGTTATCTTATCTAATCTGCCGTCCTTCCTATCTCCTCCAAATTTATTGCTTATCCCATCAGTGACCTCGTATCCATCTCATTATCTCTCGTCCTGATAATTCCAATTTCCCAACATGTGTTAACGCGTCACGGATATGTATACGTCAGCCGTCAGTCCTCCCTCACCCCCCCCCCCTAATGTCATTACCCCTTCCTCATTAACCGTCGCCTCACTTCTTTCCTCCTCATTAAACCCTGTCACCCTCCATCAGCCGTTCCTTCCCCTCTTTGTGAACGCATAATTAGATACCGGCAAC